AATCTTGGTTGAAAAGTCCCTCAAAGTCAGCAAAAAACAAGTTTTAGTGCAGCCAGATTTTCAAAATTTCACTAAGTGTTTTGTACTAAGAATCGATTTTGATGATAACTTCAATTCCATGCATTTTCTGAGTGTGACCTAGTATAGGACTTTTGTAGGACTTATTAAGAGCTTTCCGACGAGCTTTGAACCACTTCAATCGGGTGTGCGGTTAGGGAGTTAGGGTTTAGCCCCTTTCGAAACCCTAATTTCCCGTTTTTCCAATTACTCTCACGTCTTTGATCCGATGATCATGAAAATTGATATGTAGGTCCCTCATGACATAAGGAACAACTTTGCTTCACCACTTGAAGTCCAATTCCTAAAACTTGAGGGGGTTGACTTTTCGGTCAACCGTACGATCAATCGGCGATTACCGAACTGTCTGTTCATGTTTCGGAGCTTCCAAGACTTTGAAACTCTTTGAGGGGAATTCACTAAGCCATATGAACTTTTTAGACCATACTTTTATCTTTGAATTATTTCCCGAATCTAAAGTCAAACTACAGTTGACTTTTTCAACCCGCAAAACCCTAATTGGGTGCCTTGAACTGCACTGCACCCCATCTGTGGGTGATTACTTCAAATTGAACCCACACATGGCCCAATATGGTACTCTTGATCTTATTTCATGAATGATTCATCCCAAAGCATTGGTTGCCCAATCCTCGAACCTTCAATTTTATCAGTGCGGAGCCCCGTTTCATCTGTGTCTTGACAAAATACACTTTGAAACTTGTTAAGGTTAGATAAATAAATGCATATGATATGAAGAGGATATAAGGGGTCAAAATTTGGGGTGCAACACCTGCGAACTCAGAACTCCCATGGGTGTCCAAAAGCCCAAACCTCACAAACCGACCGATTAAATCCAAACCAGTCCCAGTAGCACGACCCACTCATCACCCGACTATACTACACCGTCTATTCCAAATTCTAACCGATAAAACTCAATTTCTACCGATTAAATCAACTTTCGACCCAAAAATGGAAACATAGAAAACAATCCAACAAATCCAATCTAGCACATACATGATCATATACATTATCAAGATGATAAAACTTCTCACCCTTACCTGATTAATCGCAAGCTAAGGTTGATTCTTGATGATTCTAGGTTTTCCTCTTCTTTTCTCTTCTCTTTCTCTTCTCCTCTTTTCTTTCTCTTCTATCTTACTATCTTTCTCTTTTCTCTCATATACTCATATTCTATTTTCTTTTCTCTCAAATTCTTTCCACACACTTACCAAATTAATTCTCACAAAATATTCCAACTTAACATTACTACTAATGTCTAAAATACCCTCCAACCTATTTTTACCTGAAACTCTCAAAGTCGGCAAAAAATAGCATAACATAATAACACATAAATTCCACATACATAAAATAATCACTTAAATAAATCAAATAAGGACTCAATAAAAATGGGAATTCAGAATCGGGGCGTTACAAGTTCTATCATGCCAAGATGCTCAATGTACTTCTTCAATGGAAGAATAATAGAAGGAACTCTTCACTACTGGTTCAACCTCACTCTTCTTCTTCAATAAGATATTTTTCTGAGTAATTTCTTAGGTCTTTCAACTTCTGAACCTCTTTCCTTTTTGTCCAAGAGGTTCCTTTTATACCCTTTAATTTTTAGGATATTGTCTTGTCATTTGATCGTGGCCCTTGTGGATATTCCTTGTTTTGGCCCAATAACACAACATAATCATTCTTGTTCTTTTCAAATCAGTATCTAGTAGCACAACTCCAATATGTAGGGGACAACGCGTCATGTGGCAGGTCGACTGCACAGACAGACAATCAACTCGCACAATTCTATGTGCAACAGCTTTTGCATAATTTTGACTTATAGTGCTTGATCTTATCTATTCAATTTTCTAGCGCACTTGCATTCAAATCTTCACATTGTTGCCACATTTTCCCTAATGCCAAGGCCCTTCATTCCTTGTTACCTCTTTTGGCTCTAAGTCTTATTGAAATTTGAGGTTGAAATGACACTCAAGATATGTCGTGCCAGAACTTATTATAAAAGCAGTCCTACACAAGTGACAAACACATAAAACTCAAAAATAAGAACGCCTATTATGCTCTATATAAAATGAACTAAAAATATAAAATGGACTTAATTTAACCTAATAAAACTTAACAACACAATAACAACACAATAAGGTCAAGTATTAAGGCAGTTATCAATGACTTAGGTACAAGTAGGTAAAAACAACAATTTTAATAAAAATTGTCGATTTTCATTCCACCACCGGCATCACAATATTTTTTTCATTTAAGAGATTTTTTTTGATATTTTTCTTCACACAATCTTGGCAGTGAGTGTTTGGCATCTATTGTTGAATAATATTGTTTACTTTCTATTTGAATAATTTGCATTTAGCTTCATTGTAATTTATTTAAATGAAAAAAAAGCATATATTAAATGTAGTCTTTCAAATTTAATAGTTGTAATAAAATGGTCATTAAATTATATCTGTTTTGCTAATAGAAATCACATGAATTGTGCAACTTCATCATCAACCCTTGGATCCAAAATTAAATGAAAAATGATTCGAGTTTACCGTTCACTATGGATTTGGATCCTCTCCTTTTTTATATATCATGTCATCTCTCATGTTTTTAATCTAACGGTTCAGAATTTATAATGAATAATTAAATAAAAAAACAAAGACAAATTACGTATCCATTTCTCTCTCCTATTAAATGACTTTTTTTTATTTAATTATTCATTATAAATTCTGAACCGTTAGATTAGAAACATGAGAGATGACATGATATATAAAAAAGGAGAGGATCCAAATCCGTATTATATATAAAAAAAATATTTATTTAATGAAATCTGACTGTTGAAATATACTATAAAAAAAATCTTTATGTAATGAAATCTGAATGTTGAAATATACTATAAAAAGAAGTTTGCATATCACCATGGTTGAAATATACAATAAAAAGAAAGTTTACATATCACCACGGTTGAAATATAGAAATGAAATCTGACTTTTATTTAATTTTAAAAAAAATGAAATGTGACTCTAATAATAAATAAATCACAACTTTGCTAACACTGAAATTCAAATCTAAAAATTTTACAAATTTTCACCACAGTTGCATTATCTAAACACGATAATGTGTAAACTATTCTTAATTAAAAAATAAATAAAAATAATAGTGTATGATTTTTGAAATGTCACCACGATCTTTCAATGAATCGTAATAAAATGAATGTTGTAGTATGTAATTTTTGTAGTAGCGAAAATTACATTAAAGTCCTCAACATCAGAGAGAAAAAGAAAAAGTGCCAATAAACCCTTTTACTTGAAACCCCAATAAATATTAATTTTCTCTATTGAACAACAATTAACCAGTATTGAAAAAACTTCTCGAAAAAACTCAAATTCTAATCTAAGACCACAAACTCCCACAAAACCAAATATTTATCATTCAATTTACAGAAAATGTGTACGATAATTAATAAAAAGTAAATGTAGATTAAATGATAAGCCTATCAAAATTACATATAGATAAACACATAATTTTTTAAAAATAAACAATGATATTAAAACAAGCACAAGGAGTGCTTGAGCCCGCAATACAGAAAAGCGAAAATGTTACATCCGCTTAATACAGTCTAAAGGAGCAACATGTCAATCATAAAAGTTACAGGTAGAAAATTTATGGTACCCTCCCCACCATCTCCAAGAATAGAAGATGATTGAATTAATAATATCATCAACTGTCAACAATTTACTATTAAAAATAAGACTATTCCTATTGTGCCAAATGAACCAAATCGAAATACCAACCGAGAAAACTGATAAAAGAGTCGATACAAGAACTTCCAATTATTACCTTCAAACTGAACCATGTAGACACTCCCTTCCAGATTTTAACTGTATAAGAATAGTCCATGAAAATGTGTTTACAATTTTTCAGCTGTAGTGTTGCAAAGCTAACATATTTTCGATGCCCCGCCGATTCCAATGTTCCTCCTTACCAGTTGATCTTTTGTAGCTATTCTATTCCTCAATATCCTTTCTTGATACAACATATCATAACCAGAAGATACAGAGAAAGAATTGGAAACATCATTCTTCCACTTGAACCTGTCATGTTCGCTTTTGCACGACCAGAATTAAGGAAGGAAATTCAACAATTCTTTCTTTTCGCTATGCATAGTTGAATCGGCTTCAAAGTGACTAAACTCTACCTTCCATTCTCACCTGGAATCCTTCTAAGACTCAGAATCTGCCACTGCACATTTGGGATTGATACATAAGCTGAAAAGATTAGGGAAAAGAACCTTTAAGGGTGGACTGTTAGACTAGTTAACATGCCAAAACGCCGTTTCTGAACTATTACCCAAGGAACAAACCAAGTTTTCGACAAACAAATCCGAAGAAGATACTGAATCAAAGCTCAGAGCCAAGACTTACGTTTCCGAACCATTACTCTATAGACTTACCTTTCTCCCCGCCATAACACGTTATAACCAAACCAAGGCTGATTTTAGCATATATGTGAACCAAGATGTCCCTCCACAATGCCTTCTCCTGTGTAAAACAGCTCCATTTCCACTTTAGCAGTAAAGACCAATTGAATGATTCAAGGTCATTAACATCAAGACCTCCTTTATCTTTTGGCGCACATACCGTCTTTCAGTCTATCCAATGCACTTTCTTATCCATAGAGGTACCTCCCCATAAAAAGTCACTTTGAATTCTTTGGATGGATTTTATCACAACGGGTTGGCGTCTTATAAAAAGACAGTGAATAGATAGGCATAAAGTTAAGAACCGAGTTTATAAGGATAACTCTACCTCCCACCGACAAGTGTTTTCCCTTCCAACCCACGAGTCTTCACTTAATATGCTCTAACACATCCCCCCACATTGAAGCCTTTCTCGAAATGTCCCATATCATTACTCCTAAGAACTTCATATGAAACTTCAAGATTTTACAATGCAGAAAACCGAAGCTGCCTCCAAAAACTCTGAACTAAGATTGACACCTCCAATTCTACTCTTGACGAAATTAACCTTTAACCCGAAAACCATTTCAAATCCTTGCAGGACAGCTTTGACACTCCACAAGTTATCCCAATTAGCTTCTCCGATCAGTAATGTGTCATATGTGAACTGCACTATATTGTAGGAGGCATAATCGTTTACCTTGAATCCCACGAACAATCCTTGGTTGACAGCTTTATGCAACATCTTCGTAAGACCTTCCATGACCAGAATAAACAGGAATGGCGACAAAGGATCCTCCTGTAGAAGACCTTTATTGACAACAAATTCACTAGTCGCACTGCCGTTAACCAGAACAGACATTGAACCATTAAAAACCAGCTTTTCCATCCAATTCCTCAAACTCTTACCAAAATTCATTTTCTCGAACAAGTATCTAAAAAACTTCCAAGACACATAGTCATGGCCCTTTCGAAATCAATCTTCATAATTGTAATACCCCAAAAATTTTTATTATTTAATTATTATTTTCGTATTTTATTTAAATTATTTTTTAAAAAATATTATTTTTTCACTTTTTTCCATATTATTCATAAAAACATCCAAAAATCATAAAATTAAAATATTAGAAAATATTTTGTTCTTTTTATAATATTTTTAATGTTTAGTATAAATAAATAGTATTTTAAGTTTATTTTAAATTGTTTAAATTTTATTTAGTTTTAACTAATTATTTAAGTTGGGCTTTAAAGTGGACATTAGGTTAGAGTTAACCCTAATTTGATACATATATAAACATAAGTGGTATTTGAGAAAAGGGGACAAAAAAAACGGCGTCCGTTCTCACAACTTATCAGAAGGGGGGACGATTTTGGGCAGCCAAGAAACTCTAGAACTCATTGAAAAAACTGTGTGTTACAAGGCATTTGCAAGTCTGAAACACCCAGAATCCCAAAATCAGCATTGATGGTTTGCGTTTTTTTCAAATTTTGATTATCATGATTCATGCATCATAAACGTTTTATGATTATATATTCGTGTTGGTATGAATGTGTATGACGTTACTGGTTTGTTTAATTGAAGCTTAAAGGTATGAAACACGAGATGTCATTGTTAGGGTTTGGAGCTTCGAATTGGGGCTTTGCAAATTAGGAGTAATTGGACAAAACCAAGGGCATAGGCATGCTCAGAAGCTTTATTCCAATTGATCCATAGTCTTAGAACTAATTTATTTTGTGTATTTTGAGATATTTGATTTCAGGTGCTATGGCAACGTTTGAAAACCGTGGGCAAAGGAGTACGGCAACGCGTGAAAATCGTGGGCAAAGGCTTACGACAACGCGTGAAAACCGTAGGCAAAAGCATGGTCAATCCACGCGAGGAAGACGACTCCCTGCGCGCGTCTTCAGATTTGAATTTTTTGTTTTTTATATAATATTTATTTTATATATTATTTATAACTAATCAGTATAGCTCAGCTGGCAAGGAAGGAGAACATGTGGACCAGAGGTCCTGGGCTCGATCCCAGCCTCATGCATTTTTTTTTCTCTTCTTCTTTTTTTCTAACCCTATTCATTATTATTTACATTTTTATTTTTCTTTTTAATTTTTTTTATTTAATCCTTCTCTTTTTATTTAGTAAAAATGTTTATTAATTTTTTAAAAATACATAATTAGGTTAAATTAACATGAGGTCAATTTTTTTTTAAGCTAACTTTGTTTAAATTTAAAAATTAAAATATCTTTTAAAATTAAAACTAATTTTGCTTTTTAATAAGAATAAAATTTCCTTTTAAAATTAAGACCAAAATCTTTTTCAAAATTAACCTAAAAACATTTTCTTTAAAAATTCAAATTAACATTTTCAAAATTTAACTGAACTTCTTTTTAAATCAAGAATAAAATTCTTTTTTTAAAAATAATATTAATGTTAAATAAAACAATAATAAAAATTTCCAAATTGCATTTTTGCCCTTCTTTACGTATTAATTGTTTCATTATTTGTCATATTTCTGTCTAACCCTTGTTCTCTATTTTCTCCCCGGATTATACTTAAATTGCTATTAATATTTATTCAATTTATTTTGTTCCATGGATGTAATTTACGCGAGGCCATGGTCGCAGTGCATTTTATTTTTATTTTTTTGGAGATTTGTAATTTACGCGAGTGATCGTCGCGACACTTTCTTTACCGCTTTCTTTACTTTTCGCAATTTAATTTTCGTCATATAATAATTTTCCATTTTGCATGTTCTTACCGTTAATTTCCTCCTTCCGAAGGATTAGGTTTAACAGTTTGACCGCCGAGTCAATAACCCTAATTTCTTGACAATTTCAAACCCTAATCGCCCAGGCGTCCCGCCGTGGACAAAAACGCCCTTTACCATAGCTTTAGGTCAAAGAGTCGCCGTACTCTGTTTTAGGGTTTCCCGCCGTGGAATCCCTAATTTCAACCCTAATTTTAATTCAACTTTTCAACATAGAAATAGGAGTTTCAAGACTCCACGTAAGCGTTTCCTTAAGAAATGCTTACTCCCCATTGAAACCTTGACCATAGTCAAGAAGTTTCTAATCTCCCTTTCAAGGGGAACTACGATTACTCTGATTCCATTCTCTATCCAGGATACGTAGGCACAAGATGCGAATCTTACCGAGTAAACTTAGGACTAACCCTTAGGTCTTTTAGGTCACTCTATCCCTTAGCAATATATACCTTAAGTAAATAATAAAAGTAAAAAGGCATACAATAAACTAAAGGTTCCTGTAGAGTACTACATAAGTTTAGGGTGCTAGTACCTTCCCTAAGCTTAACCAACCCCTTACCTAGGTCTCTCCCCGCATTGTCTTTACGATGCAAAATTATTTTTTCCCTCTTTTGACCTTTTCCTTCGGATAAATCAAAGAGTGGTTGTGAACTAAAGATGTGATTCAAATTAATTAATAATTTGATATCCTATTCTAACCACAACAGAAAATGACGACTTCACTGGGGAGATGCATAATTTTTAAGGGTTACCCCTATTTTGTTTATTGAATGATATTTTATATTATTAATTATCTGTATATATTATTGTATATTGTGGAGGGTATCTATTTTATTGTGAGATAAGTCCTACATTCGAACTTGAGTGACCTTATTATAGGAGGTGAGATATTCGACGAGGCTTATAGGGAGTGATTCCCGACCAAACCGACTTGAGAATCACCGCTCAGTTGAGACCCTTTTGAAAATGGTTCGGTTGAACGAGTATTCGTGAATACTTTTACTATTTTCGATTGGAGTCTATGATATTGAGGACCGTAGTACCTTAACACCACCTTGGCCTTATCTAGGACGTAGTGCAAGGACTATAAGGGAATATTCTCGAAATAGTCGCTACGCGATACTAAACTCAAAAGAGATTCTCTTGAGAATATTATTAACCACCAAGTTAATCGGGAAATTGATAATATCCGAAAGATGGATTGATGACTTTGGGCACCGCTTTAGAACCCTTGTTCTGCAGGTACAACTAACCTTAGTAAATACCTTATTAGGATGGAAAGACCTTAACTCCTTGCATATACCTTTAACCTAGGACTTTGTATATATGCATTGCATCTATAAGACATCACATTGCATCACATGTCATGGAGTTCAAATTTTATTTATGAATATTGCAGGATACCATGGATTACAAAAAAAAAACTTTGAGATATTCTTTTAAAAGACTTAAGCTAGATGACCTAAGGAAGCTAGGAGTTTTGATTTAAGATCAACAAAGGATCCAGAAACAAGTATGGAAGGCCATTATTTTTGTTGAAACCTCAAGTAGACGAAGGTTTCCTTTCGACTTTGTTACTGTTCTAGGATCCAGATTATCTTTTCCTTACATCCCTCGAGTACCAGCTCTTGCCTACCCTAGAAGAGTACTCTCAATTGGTGGGGTTACCTATTCTGAAGGAGTCTTCGTTCCCTTTCTTGGAGAAAGACCCTAAAGGACAAGACCGTTGCTAAAGCCATATGCTCGAAGTTATCCGACATCAAGGACACTAATCACCAATAATTGTGAAGACTTTTCCAACGTACACTTGCTTGGTTTTGATGAAGGATTTATTTTCCTCTAACTCTCGATTTACCTTTTGAAGATAGGCTCATTCTCAAAAAGGCCTAGCCCAAAGAGCGGAGCAAGAGGCAGAACAGGAAGCTTCCTTAGGGTCATTATTAGCTTTTATTTAGCTATTATGCCAAGACTTTTCTAAGAATGTTATTTGTAATCCGTTTTCAAATTAATAAATAAAGTTTTGGCATTCTGTGATATTCGTAAATATTTGAATTCCATGAAATCATTTCATTCGTATTTCGCATTTTTGTATCATATTTTTTCATCACATGTGTCTCCTGGTTTCTTATTCTTAGTTCTCTCGCCTGCCAAATTCGTCACCCTGGGTCCTCCGCATCAGTACAACACTAGAGCCCAAGCTCGAAAAAGGATGGAAGAACAAGCTTAAGAGATCGACCGTGTCAGCCATGAACTCGAAGATCTTAGAGGAAGTGTGGGGCAGATTATGGAGATGCTGCAAGCCCTTAAGGTGAAGATGGATAATTAACCTACTGTTGTTTCTGAGATTACCAACGCTGGTGTGGGTTCTCACCCAACTGTTACTGTTGAGAACATACCTCCTCATGGTCTTCAACCCAGTTTGGTGCATCCTACCATTGCTCAACCAGTTCGACGAGTTACTCCTTAGAAGTGCAAAACTCCGAGCGTTGACCACCATAAAGGACCTACACGTCCGAGAAATCGCTCGATGGCTCCTCACCAACCTTGACAACCTCAGCAGAATTATGTTCAAGGTTATCCATTTCAGTATGCTCCACACCCCTATGTAGCTACTATTGCACCTCCTTTCAGTCAGCAATTTCCTACATATCAGCCCGTGCCACCGGCTCCGGTCTATCAGCATCCGGTTTATCAACAACCTCCTGTTTATCAGTCTGCACAAATTCCTATCAACTATCAGCGAGCGCCCAATGCTTCTACCAATCAACCGTCAAAGGAGCAAGCACCTCGTCAGAATGGTCTGAGTAAGAGACAGTATAAGCCCTGTCCTCCGATTCCGATAACTTTTACCGAGTTGTACCCTTTCTTAGTGCAACAAGGTTTAATTACCACTAGAGTTGTGGGTCCGCCTCCCAATCATTTGCCTGCCAACTACAACGCCGCCGCTCATTGTTTATTTCATGAGGGTGCGCCTGGTCACGATTTACAAAGTTGCTACGCGCTCAATAACATTGTCAGAGATTTGTTGGAACATAAGATATTGTTTTTCGATGATCCGTCGCCAAAGATCAAGACTCCTCTCAAGGTTTTCAACATATC